ATACTATATATAGAAGTTTGTGATTATTCTGATTTATTCTGCGGTATACACCACATCCACCTCTCTTATTCTCGTGTGAGAAATAAGACGGGTCCCAGTGTAGCAATAGAAAACTCTTATGAAAACAAAAAGCTTCTTTGAGCCATCCTGTTGAACAATTCTATGGCACTTGGCAAAGAAACAGAACAAGGGCAGGTATCCATGCAAACAATGCAACACCCGCTGTGCGAATGTCACTAATTACCACCTCTAATTAAAACACCCTCTACATGCGACATTCTTTATTAACATCTCATTCGAGCACTTCTAACATTAGCATATGTGTTCGAGCAGATCCTGCTAATATAATTATCATTAACCCTATTGTTTTATAATGAACTTTTCAATTATTATTGCACCATCCAGGTTCATTCTGATATCATTCTGAAACTTTATATGGTTACCTTCGTAACGAGATAGAGTGCCGACAAACAGGTAGGGAACGTCTAAGTATGCTTTGTTTAGGATTTCATTAGGCCGTATGGAATGAATTTCAACATTAAGTATTCGTCGAGTGAGTCTATTAAGTGGGGTGCAAAAATTGGTATCCGTTCAATGTTTTTATCAGGTTGTTTCAAAGTTTGTCCGTTTTTATGAGTCTACATCAAACTGTAATGTATCAGTGGATACTCAATCAATTTAATCAGAATAAGCGCCATTTGAATCAGTGCGTTTCTGCCAACGTAACAGAAGTCGATTAATTCCGTCAGCATGAAAATAGTGTGCTTGGGATTCGATGAAGTCGACGATGACCGTTTTTGCCTGATCATGATTGGCGAAGGTTCTACCAGTGAAAAAGTTATCGAAGTGCTTGGAAAGATGGTAGTCGGTTGGGGAGAGGTCTGGGGAGTATGGTGGCTGAGGCATAATTTTGACGCTCAATTCGTCTATTCACATGCATTGAATTTTCCAGTACGTTCAAAAGTACCACTAAGGAATTGAAAAAAGAATATTTTCAGAAGAGAATATTTTTTGGTAAAAAGTCTTTTTGAATTTCTGAATGAATTAATGAATCTGAATGGAATAATTCAATTTGGACAGCGTTTGGAAAATAATTGGATACGCAAACGATACTGCAATATTTTATGAGGCAGACACTAGGCTTGATTTGAAAAAGAACGTAGAAACAGATTTCCACTTGCTCAAAAAATGGTTTGACCAAAGGCTTCTGACAGTGAGTCTGAAGAAAACTAATTTTCTTCCTTTTTGCTGCAATCTATCTAGTGATTGTCCATTTGAAACTCTTGATGTCGGCGAACAAGGAAAAATACTAAAAGTAGATTTC